CCAGTTTCTCCACAACCTCGCCAGCATTTGTTGCTTGCTGTTCTGTTAAATTTTGCTATTTTGACTGGGGTGAAATGATATCTCATAGTTGTTTAAAATCATGTTTTGTTTCTATACAATCAGATGTTACACAAATTTATGCCAGTATGATCCCAGGATGAGAATTTTCTTTTCCATCAGAATTCATATTTTAACAAGATTCTTAGGTGACTTTTTAACATTTTAACAGGATTCCTAGGTGAATCTGGGCATCTGCAAATCACTTATGGATCTTGTTGGTAGGTTCTGCCTCAGTAAATGCAAATTTTCAGCAGGTAGTTGAATGAGAATGAACAAGTTCAAAGTGTTGGTTAAAAAAATGCAAGTAACCGTATATAACTCTTAATTTTGCTCTGGAAGTTAATTCTTTGTTTGTTTCATTTTAAGCTCTTCCATTTGGTAAAATTCCCATTTTAGAAGTCGATGGATGTCCTCTTCACCAGAGTCTAGCAATAGCAAGATACCTGACCAAAAACACAGGTAACATGTTTATATTTAAGATTATTTTAGAAATGGAAAACACATGGTACATATTCAATATTAGTGAAATAACTTTATTATTGAACACTACAACAAAAAGAAGGGAATCCAAGGAACACAAACAATTAGAACTAACTGGTAGGTTAGTAGTGAGTCTACCCAAAAGTGCTTTTAAAGAAAGGTCTCACTGATCGACGTTACAAAAATCAGTTGCTGAAAATCCTACAGAGAACAAATATACCCTGGCATAGATGAGTTGAAATTGAGTTGATAACACCTGGTTTAATTTAATTTGGTGCAAAAAAAATGAAATTAAATGTTGGAAAAATATAACATCAGCTTAATTTTCCATGAGTTTTCTACATAATTAATTTTATGACATAAAGTTTACCTACACTCTCTTTACCTTCTTCCTACACTGTCATTAAAATTTAGGTGAAAAATTGAACAAGTACATTTTACTCCTAAACTTTCATGAGCATGTCTATCAATTGGCCAGATTACTTAACAGGGTACGTGTATAGTATGGAAGTTGAGATTTCTCAGACATGAAAACCAGGTTCTCTTACAACTTCCATGACCCTGAGACCAGAAAATCTAGACAATGCCCACTAACACTGCTGACTGTTCAAAAAGGGATTTTAAAGCAGGGCTGCACAGTTTGGTGGGTGGAGGGAGAAGGGAAAGGAATGGGAAGGATTAAGTGAAAAGACAGAGTAATGATAGGCAAGGTCCAATGGGGATTAATTTCATAAAACGTAATGTGAGGGGGCAAAATGTACCACAATGAGTGAATGAAAATTTAACTTCTCTGTAAATATTTGCTAAAATCACAGTTAAAATAAAATTTTATTTTAAAAAACCCATAATGCATAAGGAGGTACACAATGTGAATGAAGGGTAATATGAAACACAATGTATATGAGCTTTGTAAACAAACAAATTGAAAAAAGAAGGGAAAGGAAAGGAGGAGTTATAACCCCAAGAAGTGCCTGGAATGTGGTACAAAACTAAAAAACTTTTAAAAAGTCAGCCTCACTGGTTAGAGACAAGTGCAACCTCCACATTTCGCCCTGAAGAACCCTTTGAAGCTGAAACAAAACTCACTCTTACGACTCAACTTTTGGCTAACTACTAGGAATATAAAGTGAACTCACTCCTTAAAATAACAAATCACCAGTTTGAATCCACCGATGCTCCGCTGGAGGAGAGGCAATCTCCCCCTGTGCCATTTGGCTCCGATTTGAAGGTACAGAACAAGGAAAAAAACAAACAACCACACATACACACACACACACAAAACAAACAAACAGAAAGCCAATCATGAAAGATCAAAAGAGCAGAATTTGTTGGAAAATCCAGATTTTCCAGGAAGAGGTAGGAAAGAAGAATTAATAGAAATTAGAGCTACAGGGATGAAGTGGAGAGTGTGTGATTACTTCATAGGTATTTTAATGAATGTTATAAAAGAAAATATGTGTGAATTGTTGAATAGCAACTAATTTGTTTTGTCACTCAAATCACAACAAAGAAAGAAAAAGAATAAATCATGTACCCCATGATGCTCTTTATCTTATTCTGAAAAAATAAAAAGCATTCTTTGCCTTCACAGAGCATCATCTGAGGCACCCTAAAGTGGGTAGTTAACTTCCTAATTGTTTAGTTTGTCAATGTACTCCATAACATTTATGAAAATAATAAAAGAGATTCGGTTTTGTTCTTTGCCTGATACCCTTTCTCCATTCTATGTTCACTGTCTTCCTTTCTCTTTCTTCTCATTCTTTTTTTTTTTTTTAGGCTTTATACTGATTTTTTTATTACATATGGAAATGCAAGCTGCTGAACTTCTTCTTCTTTATATATTTTTCTTATTATTAATTTTAATGAAAATTTACAGAGACTTTGAATTTCCACTCACTCATTGTTGTACTTTTCTCCCTGCCCACCCCTCCCCCTCTATTGTTCTTCTCTTTGAAAGGTAAAAAAAAAAACAAAACACACAAACCTTCCTTTATTATACAATTCCTGCCCCAGCCTTTGATCTAGACTCCCCGTCATGACAATACTACCTAATCTTTAAGTACAAAAGCGCTTTGGGTTTCTTTGAAAGCTCCTTCCTTTCTAATCAATCTACAAATCATCATTCCTGCATTTCATCTACCACAACTACCTTACTGCTCCCACCACCACTAATGTTCAAGACCAAGATACCTGGTTAAATTACAAAATGAAATGAGTCGTAATTCTGAGACTTCCTTTCCAAAGTAGAGTTATGCATGAAAAAGAATAAAATCTCAAAGTAATATACCTCAACATATGTAGTTCTTTGGAAGTTCAGAAAGTTGGAGATGATTTCTGACTATGAAAATTAGATTTCAAATAATGTTTGAGTTCAACCATAAGAGATGCAATCGCTTTCAAACTTGAAGTGCATCACAATTACCTGGGGAGCATCCTAAAACACAGATTTCTGTAAGCCCTGACTTCAGAGTGTGGTAGGTCTTAGTCGGGGCTTAAGAATTTGCATTCTAAACAGTTCCCCAGATAATATTAATGAAGCTGTTTTGAGGACTTTCCAAATCACTAGTTAGGTCCCTGCAAGCAGAGAGAACACTAGTATAAGAAAAGAAAAAGAACCATAAGTTTGAAAAGTGGTGAAGTAAAAAGAGAAGCATATGGGGAAAGAGACGTTTCAGAGTATAGAGTTGTAAGATTTGATCTAAATTCTTATGCTTTTCTGCAACATCCCTTTATCTGTAACTTTGGAAGATTATTCTTACAACACTTTATCGTTGATTGGCATGACTAAAGTTAGGGAAGAACACTTGGAAGACATCAAAACAGTCTAAAAAGATCACTTCTGCCAGGTTTTCATTGCAGAGATTTGAAGAAAGGCTCGAGAAAGTGGTAGGGGAAAGTGCACAGTGCAATGAGAATCACAAAACAGTATCCTTGTGAACCAGCCCTGCCACTACTCTGTTGTGAAAAGAAACTTTTCTGAACCTCTGTTCTCCTAGCATCTATCATGTAATCGTGTGAAGTCTTCCTCTACAAACTTTCTCTTATTTTCCTTGTTTTCTTTTCTTAGTTGTTGCTACCTTTTTGTTATTGTTACATGTAGTCTGTTTTCATTAGGAGGTCTGATGGAGTAATTAATAACATGTTGTCCTACTAACCAAAAGACCCAACATCTCCAGCAGTTGGAATTCACCAGCTACTCCATGGAGGAAACACAGGCAATCTCCTTTCTATTCAGTTTTATAGCCTCAGAAACTTGATAGAGGATCACCACAAGTTAAACACCTTTTAAACCAGTCCAGCCATAGCTGATGCAGTGAAATTGGAACAGACTCAAATTTTTTAAACTGTGATTTATTAGAATAATCATTGAGATGGGAAAAATTACCAAAGAAAACCCTGGAATAAGAGGGTTGGAAGAAACAGCAAGTCTTTTCAGGAGCCTGGAGCAGGAAATTGGGTTATTTCCAGAAATGTGGACCATGAGACACATTCAAAGTAAAGTGAGAGGCTGTTGTCTGTGAGCTTGTTACCACTGTCTTCAGCTCTTCTATTCAGTGAGCACACTGACCTTGTTCTCTAGGAGGGAGATTGAATTTCTAGCACATGTCAGTCTTCGATTTGTCCTATTCTTCTTATCATTCATTCCAATACAGTAACACATTACGAATTTTGGTCCATTCTGGTTTTGCTTCCTCCTCCTCTATGACTGAATCAAAATGAATCTGTGTGAAATCTTGTGTCAGTATCTGCTTTCACTGTAACATAAGTACAGTGCCATGCTGACAGGTGATGTATCTGCTTTGTTCACTTCTGTAGCCCCATCTGGGGCTGACCCACAGCCAGAGACCTGTCATTATTAGTGGGTGAATGAATAAAGAACTGGTTTTGAGTAGGACGTGAAGACTCCATTTTGAGATTTGTTGAGGTTTATTGTCCAAAAGCCACAATGAGAAAGAAATATCCAAAGTGAAACTGACAATGTGGTCTTGAAGTTCAGGATTCACAATGCTAAATGGGACGACCTCTGCATGAAACTGAGTGTGGAATTCAAAGAAGGGTTGAAGATGAATAAAGAGAATTCTGAGGAACTTTTCAGGATCATAAAGAAAAATAATCTTTGAATATGATACCAAAAAAAAGTATATGCAGATAGATAGATGTTGTTAAAGAAATTAAAAGTTACTAAAGCCTTTCTTTCAATTTTAACACTTCTATTGAAGTAAAATTTATATAAAATTCACCCACTGTCAATATGGTGTTTGTTGATTTGTTATATAAAAGTGATTCACATGGTATGCTTCTGCCACACTGAAAATTCTTACGTTTGTATCAGTAAGTATGATTTCTAAAATTTACAACATTTTTTATTCTAAAAAAAATGGAATTTTTTTTTTTAGCAAATGGTCTCAACAAATGAAAGGAAGAGGGAGGATAAAAAGAAAACCATAAAGCTTCCAAGCAAAAGCAGTTGCTACTGAAAATATTATCAAAATTGTCTGAAATTCAAATACTGTACAGAATAAGTTATCACATACAGGTCAGCTATTTATAAACAGTATTTGCGCTTTAGTAAACTAGAAAAAACAAGACTAAATTAAATGAAGATAGTTAAATAAGTTGTGGCACATCTATATAAGGAATTTCATGTGGCTTAACCAATAAAGAAAATATTTAAAAGGTAAGTGTGCCTTTTAAAAAGTTGTAAGGAAAGACCTTTAGGATATAAAGGAGAAGGCATGTCACCAAATGATACATATGCTTATTTGCTAGTACTTTCATAAAGAAACAATGGAAAAGACATAAATAAAAGCGATTGCCAAAAAGGCATGTTGGTATGGAAGTGAAATGTGTCCGCTGAGAACAGAACTGTAATGTAACCTTTATTGACACTTCCTTTATATCACTTTGGATTTTCTTTTAGCTTGTGAATATATTAACTATTAAAGAAATATTTTGCACAGAGTCAAAGAAATTGAGTATATTCATGGACATAAAACATCCTTTCTCTGTTCCACAGATTTGGCTGGAAAAACAGAATTAGAACAATGTCAAGTTGATGCTATTGTGGACACTTTGGATGATTTCGTGTCTCGTTTTCCATGGACAGAGAGAAATCAAGAAGTAAAAGTAATGTCATCAGTTTGTTGTAATTATGACTAGTCATACACTTGCCAGGAATCGTATTCTAATTGTTACACATCATTAAGTCAAATCCACTTTCTAGTGATCCTATGTACAAAATCTTGTGGAGTCTTGAATTATCCTCAAAATCAGTGAAATATCATTGAAAATATCAAATTATATCATAAAGTTTACAACAAAGTACAGGATTCCCTATTCTAACTCTTCGCTGTACCCTTTCCTAGAGGCAACTCTTTCAGATCTTCTTAGGGACTTGCTAGGAACTCTGGTTGTGTAGTGTTCAATGTGTCTGGCTGCTAACCAAAAGTTTGGCACTTTGCTACGAGTTGCTCTGTGGGAGAAAGATGGCAGTTGCCTCCTGTAGAAATTCATAGCCTTGGCAACACAATGGAAGGTTCCTGTGAGTTAGAATTTATTCTACTGTAGGGGGTTGGGTTTGGCTGTGGTTTTAGTGGTTTACACACATCCATCTTTCTACAAGGAGATGTGGTAGCATAGTCTGTATGGAGTAGAGGATCAAATCTACTTGCAGCTCTGGGTAGTCTCCTCTTGTGCAATTTCTTGCCTTGGAAAACCTACTGAGTGGTCAGCTATGAGTTGGCCATGACTCATGGCAATGTGAGAGAAAGATTTCTACAGGATATGTTAATATGGCTTCTTTTTATTTGCTTGCCTTAGATGCTATTTATAGACATATGACTGTTGTTATTGTTAGATGCCATCATGTCAAGTACAACTATTAACGACCCTATGAACAACTGATCTGAACCGTGTCCTATCCTGTGTAATACTTTCAATCTCTGACACAGTCACGGTGTCAACCGAACTGGTTGATAGTCTTCCTCTCCTTCACCATTCCTCCACCTTCCCAAGCATGATGTCCCTTTCCAAGGAATAACCTCTCATAGCAACTTGCCCAAAATATGTGAGTGAAAGATAATTGTCTTTGCCTCCAATGAGCACTCTGGCTACAACTTTTCCAAGACATATCTGTTTGTTTTTTTGGCAATCAGTGGGATATTCTGCACTCTTCTCCAACACGACAGTTTAAAAGCATCAATTCTTCATAGGAATTGTCTTTCTAGAAGAGTATTGACTATACTACGGGCTGCCAGGAGAACAAACAAGTTTGCCCGGGAGAGGGTAAAGCCAGGCTGCTCCTTGGAGGCAAGGATTCTGACGCTTTGTCTGTTGTACTTTGGACATGTTTCAAGGAGGGAGGGACCAGTCCTTGGAGAGGGATGTCATGCTTGGGAGGGTGGACAGCGTAGGAGAGGAAGACCATGGATGAGATGGATTGATTCAGTCACTGAGGTAATGGGGATAGGTGTGTCTGAGATAATAAGATTGGCAAGAGATAGAGCAGAGTTTAGGGCTGTTGTACATAGGGTCACTATGAGTCACAGGCGACTCAACAGCAACAACATAGTCATCAGCTCTGCTTCCTTTCTTCTAAGCTCTTAATAATGTGATGTTATACGGTGAGATAATGGTAAGAAGCTGAACTGTGATTTGAAAAGTGTGTGGTTTGAATCCATCAGCTGCTGGGGAAGAAGATTGGGCAATCTTCCCTTGTGTAATTTACTGCCCCTGAAAACCTACTAGACATTCAGCTTTGAGTTGGTTCTAACTCCATGACACACACATCAGTAACAAACTTTTTGCTAAGGAGTACATTGAGTTGAGCGTCTAACAAATAGGTCATATTTCTCAAAGGGTCCACTTGAACAAAGATAGGTAATCTTCTGTAAAGATTTATGGCCTCAGAAACTGGTGGAAGGTCTCTGTGAAATGGCATTGCCTCAGTGGCAGTAGGATGGAATTTTTTAGTTAAGTCAATATTTAGTGTTTAGGAAATCTATATTTTATACAGAACTGTACACTGTCCTAGGTTTTGATTATATTTTCTACTTTACCTCACCATTAGCAATTATTCTGATATTTTTCTGAATTCTTTTTACCTTTCTTTCTAATTCATCCTACAACTGCCAATAGGCTACCAACAATGTTTTCCTCAAGGTCCACAACATCATATGATCATCATATGACCATTGCCACTATTTTCTTGGTAATATCTGACCTGGAGTCTTCTGTCCTCCTTTTTAGAACATTCTGAGTCTTTTGCACATCTGTCATCAACAGATTTCCCTAAGTCTAATGCCAAAAATCCCTTCTCTTGAGTTAGAGTCCTAGTTCTTTCTTGTTTCCTTCCTTCCTTCCTTCCTTCCTTCCTTCCTTCCTTCCTTCCTTCCTTCCTTCCTCCCTCCCTCCCTTTTCCCCTTCCTTTCTTTCTTTCTCTCCTATATCAGCCATATGTAGTTGTTGTTGTTATGTGCTGACGAGTTGCTTGAGACTCTTAGCGACCCTATGTATAACAGTCCTAAACTCTGCTCTGTCCTGTGCCAATCACACCGCCTCTGACACACCCATCCCGGTTATCCCAGTCACTGAATCAATCCACCTCATAGAGGGTCTTCCCCTCCTGCGCTGTCCCTTAGCCATATATGCTCCGTATATTAGAGTCTATCTCTCTAGTGTCCTAGGGGCTAAAAGGACATCTTGGTAACCAGAGGAATGATGGTGATGGATGCTATGGAGCCGTCTCTCTGTGAGTTATCGTGCTTCTCTCTGCTTTGTTTGCTCTGGAAGCCTGCTGCATCCTAAAATCTATTTCCTTTTACTCCTCCCTATGTTCCTTTCCCGCTTTATGAACTTACTTTTGTGGAGCAATTCTCCGACAGCTTACTGATGTTAGGAAATGAAAGGTTAGGGTCTCATTTATCTGCAAATGTTTCTATTTTATCCTCATACCTTTTCCCTCACAGTTTTGTTGAATGATATTGTAACTTATCCCACTATCCCCAGCATTTAGGAAACATTTATCTATTGCCTTCTAAAGACTGACAAGTCTGAATTCCACCTAAGTCCTGTTAGGTTTTATATGACATGTTTTCCCCACTCTCTTAACAGTTTGTAAATGTTGTTGTTCTATGATGTTTACAGCGATACATACTAGTGTGATCTTGTTTTCATCTACTGTGCTTTTTCCTTGCTGAACACTTTCAATCTGGAACTCACCTCCTCTGAGAACTCTTTTAATTATTTCGCTGATTATATCAAGGAAGAATTATGCTGTGTTAGGGAAGAAATCCTCAAATTTATCCATCAATCCTTCTCTTTATAAATTTCTAATAGAATTATTTTTATAATAAGTTTCTTATAAGTTAATGTGCTTTTCTTCTTAAAATAATATCAATCATTTCCCTGCTTAGAGAATGTTTATCCAAAATTTCCTTTCCCCCCATTTAGTTTAGATTCTGCGCTTCCACAGAAGTCAGATAGTTATTTCCAATCTATGATAAAGCTAGAATGCTCTGGTGGTCTAATGGGTAAAGAGTTGTTGCCAACCCAAAGGCACTTGGTTCTAATTCACCAGCTGCTCTACTGGAGAAACATGGACAGTCTCCTCTCCAGAGATTCACAATTTCTGAAAATCTGCTGGAGGGTCAGCTATGAGTCTATTCCAACTCAGCAGCATATAACAACATGATAAAGGTCATGGAAATTAAGAAGTTCAGTCTAAGCATGTAAATGGATGGAGTTTATTAGAAACCATAAGTTTGCCATTCTAAGTCACCTTTGAAGACAGCATCAAGCATGGAAATTTGTTTCTGAAAGAGCAAAGCCTTAAAATTGCATAAAGTCACCGTAAGCGGGAATCCACTGATACTGCAGGGAGGAGGAAATTATCAACTTACACCTACTTCTTTCAACAGCTTTTCATGAACCGAAAAACATTCAAATGTTAAGTTGCAATACTGAGAGATACAGGGGCAAAATCTTGGATGATCTAGGAAGCATCAAGAGAAGATGGAAGGAACACACTGTCTCTGTACCAAAGAGAATTGGTCACCACTGAAAAATTTCAGAGGCCATATGAACAAGAGTCAGTGGTAGGGAAGCTCTGGTGGCCTAGTGGCAAGGAGCTGCAACTACAATCCCAGAGGCGCATGGTTCGAATCCACCAGATGCTCTGCTGGGGAAGGAGGAACAATTTCCTCCTGTACCTGTCAGATCTGATTTGACGGTACACTCACACAAAAAGAATAATAATTTTTAAAAAAGAGTCAGTGGTAGTGAAGAAAGAAGTTGAAGCAGCACTTGAAGGCACTGGCAAAAAATAAGGTGCCAGGAATCGATAGGAAACCAGCTAACAGATGCAACTATGGACATGCCAGGATATTTGGTAGACAGCTACTTAGTCAATTGATTCATATTTGTTCCCATCCCCAAGAAAGGTGACCCAACAGAATATAGAAATTATAGAACAGTATCATTAATATTATATGTAAGCAAAATATTGCTGAAGATCATCCAAAACCAACTAAAAGAATACAGTGACAGAAGAATGGAAGACGTTCAAGTGGGATTTAGAAGAGGCCATGCTCATGTCAGATGGATCTTGGCTGAAAGAAGAGCATGCCAGAAGAATGTCTATCTGTGTTTTATTGATTGTGCAAAGACATTTGTCTTTGTGGATCATGACAAACTATAACTAACATTGAGAAGAATGGGAATCCCAGAACACTCAGTTGTGCTCAGAACAAAGCTATACGAAGAACTTACTGTCTAAAAAGAGCAAGGAAGTTTATTATTCAAAGTGGTTTTCCTAAAAGAAAAAAAAAAATAAGAAGGCTTTCCCAGCCACTGAGCTTGACTCTGCCAAGTGCATGGACAAAAATATGCACATAGCTTGTGTTAGCCTATCTACAAGGGGATTGGCTAGTCTCTCCATCAAGTTGAGCCATTTCAACAGAGAGAATCTCTCACCATCAACAAAGGAGAAGTAGGCATGCAGTAGATACCCTCAGGGCCAGACATTCTCATGGCTGCTAGACTTAACAGCAGCAGTGCCAGCTAGGCTTACAGAAGCAGCAGCCATGGCCAAACCAGAGAGTCAACATAAGATGGAATTGGCCTTGGAA